AATTAATAAGAATTTAGTTTATGATAACTCACAAGGTTATAGGAGTAAAACTCACAATTAATGTGATAACATTATTAATGAGTAATTTACAAATACATTTGTAGGTGTTTTTTAAAATTATAAACATGCCCTAGCTTTAGTGAATCTGTGGGACCCAACCAACTTACAAACTTTTTATATATATGTATACATGTAAAGAATGAAACACAATTTACCCTCGAGCAAGATCAAAATTTTTGAACCTTACATATGGAAAAGATAGTATACTAGGAGAGATATCTTAACTGAGCCTGATAACACTTAAATTTAATATAAAAGTATTGACACTGTATTGAATATGCCAAATAATAATATTATTAAAAAAAGTTAAAACAGCAATTATATTGATTAATATACATTACCTTTATAAGAAACTGGTGTTATTACCCTGCGGGGATTACTATTAACTTAAAACAAACCTTAATAACTTTGGTTTGTTGTGCAACAAGAATAATTGATGAGTTGAAGGAACCTTGAATGTGAAAAGAAGGTTGCTTAGAAAAGCACCAACAACAATGACAGTATAGTACATTCTTTTTCCCAGAACTTGCCCTACATATATAATATCCCCCCCCCCCAAAAAAAATAAATTAAACAGGACAGTTATTCTTGCATTCACATTGTGAGGTAAATGCCTTCAAATATACTAATGTATAGTACCTTAAGCTTTGAATAAGATCTCTTGTTATCCATTTCAATGCACAATCGTTGCCCTTAAAAATCCAGAACACATTGAAGAGCTTTTCTATCTTTCTTTTTCTTTTTTTTTCATATGACTATTAAGCTGAATTAGATTCGAGTATTATCAAATTTAATTAGAGGTTGTTTTCTCAAAAATATTTTCCGTATTCACAAGGATCCAAACTTAAGATATGGTACTTGAGCAACCATAACCTTTAATTTCCTCGAGGTCCAACGCGTGCTGGTTAAAGACCCAGGACAGATGCTAGGAATTTGTCAAGCCCAAGAGCATTTCCCGATGAAGACTGTGCCATGGATTTACATGGAGCCACTTGGTCAATTTTGTCCCCATCTAAATGGGCTCCATCATTGTTTGAAATTGAAGGCCTATTGTCAGTGTGAAAAATCACATGCTTACAAGTAAAGGTTTGGTGGATGTGCGTGTGTTTTCATTTATCTTAAATATGTGTGCCTCCTCTCTTCTAATGTTCCACACGTACCTTCTGAAGACGAAATACCTACCAATGGCTTTAGGGTTGAGGAACAAGAGATTCAGTACCGTCAAGTAAGGTCTTGAGTGAAAACTTTATTTGTAATTAAGAAAATGTTGAGAGTTCTCCTCCACAGCAATGTAGAAATTACTGAGCACCTCGATCATCAAAAGCAATATCCAATTTAAATTATAAAAATTAAGCTGCATTGAGTTGAAGTTCAGGAGCATACTTTTAATTAAGTCAAAATTATTGATTTTTCCAGAATTATAATATTTGTTTTATATCCTGAAAATCATTTTTTCGAAATTCACAGGTAAACAGATTGCAATAAGAAATCCCAGAATCTGCCTTGTTTGCTAGTTCTTAGATAATAATAAATTGAACTAAAAGAAGAAGAGGCAAAGGGATGTGAGTATGGGCACCATAATTAACTTGTAGTGTTGCGTCTCAAGCGAAGGCAAGAAATGTACAAATAAATAATAGAGGAGGCCCAGGTTTAAAAGTTGTTGTTAGCAGAATCAAACAAAACATGTGGAGATTTAACGGATCATTGTCATTTGATTAATTTTGCCAGCCAGGAACATATCCTCTATTTTATTTTCTTGGGGACAAATCTAAATTTGGTGGAAGCACTGGAAGATGATGGTTTGTAAAAGGACAAGAGATTTTGGGGCCACCTGGAAGATACGAGGCTCATAATCACAAGAAACATTGTCTATGTCATTCCTCCAATTTGGGTTTCATGGGCCCCAACACAACTGTTCTGACGCTTATTCCTCTGGCCCAACCCATCCACTGTTTTGGATTACAATCCCTCTCTTTCCTCTCTTATCCCTCCTTCAAAACCATGCCTTACTCCTATTTTTAAACAATATTGATATTATGATCTATTAAAATTAGCATGAGTGATGAAAGTTCTCATCATTTAAACAAGTGATTAAAGACTGAAACTCCAACTCTTGTATATGTAATAATTTAATTAGTAAAACTCAAAGGTTGCTTAATTTTATTTACATACAAAAAAAAAACTCATGGTGTCTAGTTGATCCTGATTTTTTTTTTTCAATTCATAAATTTTGACATCAAAATCTTCAATTCTTGTAGTTTTTTTACACCAAACAAGCCAGTCCTTATCATTATTCACTCATTACATAATCTCTATAATTTCTTAACTCAAGACATTACAAGAATTAAATTTTATTGAGTCAAAGTTTAATTACTAAATTGATAATTAAGAGAAAGTTTATAACTAAAATTCATATTATCCCTTTTTATTATCACATGGCTATATATTTATATATAACATGTCATCCTCATTCCTGAGCAACAAATGCGGATTTTTTTTTTTAATTTAACTAAGGAGGCGAAGAAAATGACAAAAACCACTTTGTTTGCCACGAGGGGTGTCTGATTAATGGTTAATTGAATCATTTTGAAATGTTTACATGTTGGTATTTAAACTCAATTTGGTGAACTAGTAACATGGGTCATTGGAAAAAAAAAATGAAGAAAAGTAACCACCAACCAGACACCCCTCGTGGCAAACAAAGTGGTAAATTAAACTCAAATGTTTACATGTTGGCATTGCTTGAATCATCAGAGAATGTGTAAGCAGCAGTAAGAACTGAAAATAACTCGATGTACGTTGACGCTGTGAACTCAAAAAGCTTGCCAAGAGGGGTCATTTAGTGGAAAAGATGAAAGAGAAAAAGGCAAAAAGGATGAAACAAACAAATAGCCCAAACAGTACAAAGTAGGTGCAGCTTTGTCCCTTAAAATCTTTGGACCACTGTGTTCCCGAATCCAGAGCCAGGGGGGTATTCTCAAAGATTATTTATATTGAATTATTGATGCATTTACATATTTAAAATGGTTGTCATAATTAAATTTGTAAAAACATTCACAATATATTCATAAGTTATAAATAACACGGTTACATCTCTAACCACTCGTAAAACAGAAGCCATGGCCTAATTTTGTTGGAAATTACCAATTTTATATTCATAGAATACATATCATGTGCCCTCTCTTCACCTGTGAAAGTTAAAAAAAAAAAATGAAAGGAGGTTTACAATTACACATCAATAAAGTATAATCATAATTAGGCCAAGTAATATGAGTTCTCATTCTTTAAGCAAGTAACTGAAAATTTGATTATCATCCCTTACATGAGAAGTTTTGCCCTCCATAGCTTGGGATTATTTTATGAATATTACACAAGATATAAAATAATTTATAGCCTCTCATATTATTTAGAAATAAAAAATAATTCCAATAATATAATTACAAAATTTTAAATTCTAATTTGTATGAATGTAAAAAATATTTTTTTATTTTTTATTTTTTGCAATTAAACCTAATAATACTTCAACACAAAAGGTGAGAAAATGGGAAGGCATGCAAATGGTGGGAGGGAGAAAGGGCAACGGTGCCAGGTTTGGGACAAGAAGACAGAGACAGCAGAAGAAGTGCCCCATTCCCCTTCATCCGGGGGACACCCTCCCTCTCTTTTCTTTTATTCCATTTCTTCCATCTCTTTCTAATTATTGCTTCTTTTCACTTTACATTTCCCCAACATTCAATACCACTACTTGTATGTCTAACATTTAAATACAAAGTTACATGCTTTTTTAATATAAGCTTCACAAATTATGCTTTCATTAAACAAATTGATTGGATTCACTAAAATATAAGGATCCATTTAGTTACTAGAAATGATGGAAATAAAATGAATTAAAGACTTAAAGAAATAGGAATGAAGACAAGCATGATAAAATTCAATAGCACGTGTCACAAATATAGAAATCAGCACACTCTTCATAAATTTCATGAATCATGACTCTTAATTTTATGAATTAAATTTTTTTTCTTGATCAATATGCTATACTTATCTCTACTCTAAATCTTGGTCACTTTTTTTTTATTTTTTTTATTCGTTCCACTAAAAAATAGTAACTGTCAACATTGTTTTAACTTATAACCGTCTCTAATTTGTATAGTTAAAAAAACTAATATAATCATAGTTTCAAACTTTCAAGTTAATTTTACTCTAAATCTTGGTCACTTATTTTTTTTATTTCTTACATTCATTCCACTAATCAATAGATTGTCAATATTGTCTTAACTTATAACTGTCTCTAATTTGTATAGTAAAAAAAAACTAATATAATTATAGTTGTCAAACTTTTGAATTAATTCTATGAGTTTAACATTTCAACTTACAAAATCATGTTAACTCATTCATAAATTCAAATTAGATATAAATTTAGTTCAATTCATGAGTTTACTTTGAATTTACTGTCTTAATGTTTTTAACTTATAAAATCGTGTCAACTAATTTATTAACTCGAACTAAATGTAAGCTTGATTAAATTTGTTAAGTTCATCAATTCTTTTTTTGAGTTGAATGAGTTAAATATATACTATAATGAATTTAGTTCATAAAAGTTATAAAACCTAATTCAAAGAAGAAAAAACTTAAAATGTAAAAACTAATATTAATAAAAAAATTAAAAATAAATTCTTCTATTTTAAAATTTTTTTATCTTGTATATAATTTGTCAATATAGATGAGTTTAATTTCAATGATTTATATTTTTAATATATTTAAATTAAATTATAACTATATTTTAATAATTATTTATTAATAAAAATAAATTTTTATAAATTTATAATTTAAGTTTATAATACGAATTTATATTTTTATTATAAATTTATTTTAAACTTATAAGTTTAATAACTAAAATATAATGATACATAACATACGGACCAAAGCGCAAAGGAGGATAATGCAACAAAAACCGTTAGAAATAACGGGTAATTGCAGTTTCAAGTTTGAATCCTGTGAGGAGAAAAACAGCATTACATCCAATAAACATAAAGAAAAGAAAATTACAAATGTAAATACTGCAGGAATGTCCACCGGGGAGAAGGAGCATAAACCAAACGTAAACGATATCATCATCATCGTCATTATTATTACTAGTCAATCGATTGGAGAATCGTGCGGGGAAGGGGAAGGGGACGACGACGGGGAAGGCGAAGGCGAATCCGACGGTGAAGATGGCGGCGACGACAGAGCGGAGGAGGAGGTAACGGACGGCGGCGATGAATCCAGATCAGAGGATTCTGTCAGCTTTCTTTTGGTGAACCTGACGCCGCCTTCTCTGTCCTGAATTCCCGCCTTAACTTCTCTTGTCGTCATGTAATCCCTTAACCGCTTCACGTCTGATAACTTCACCGGCTTCACTATGAAATCCTCTGCTCCTTCTTCCAAACACCTTCACGTTTCATTTTTCTCGTTTTATTAAATATTATAATATGATATATTTATAACTCCCCCAATTAATTAATTAATATTTCAAAAATATGCCATCTATGTACCTGTCTATGCGCGGCAGGACGTTTTCAGAGGACATAATCACCACCGGAATTTCTCTGAAAGTGGACGACTCCTGATCCAGATTAACATTTTCGCTTTAGAAAATTATTCAATTTTCAAATAATAATGCAGGGATTTGAAAATTTAAAAAAAAAAATTGTGACAATTTTCTGACCTTGATTTTCTTGAGTAATTCGTAGCCGGTCATTCCGGGCATGCAATAGTCGGTGATGATTAGATCTACCTTTAAGCCCTGCTAAGGGTGGAATTAATTTTCCACTGGAAGAAACTAAAATAGCCGAGGAAAATAAAATCCATGAAAATTAATTCCTCACATCAAAGCCGTCTGATTCGGAGGCGGATTTCTGGCTGTCGAGTCCAAGGAATTGCAGAGCTCTCATTCCGCTGTCCACGGCAGTAACTGCGATTTCCCAAACAGAGGGAAAAAAATCCTCAACTCCCAAACACAGAAAAACGGGAAAACAAACATCGAAAAACTCCATTTTCCTTTCCACCCACCTTTACAAGCTGAAATCCTGAGCAAGCGCTCGATGACTTTCCGATCGACGAGGCTGTCATCGACGGCCAAGACATGAACCTCTTCGGAATCTGCCGGCAACAGACCACAGTCCTCCATAAACGGCACCGTTTTCGTCGGAAATTGCTGGGAGAAGAGGAAGGGGAAGGAAACCGGGGGGGGGGGGGTTATCCGAGGTGGGAGCTAAAACGATATATACGCTGTAACATGTAAGGTTGTCCGTTTTCGATCTATCTGTCCAAAATGTAAGTATGTGTGCTGTGTGTGGGTGTTTCACTTTCTCTCTCCAATATAAAGTCTCTTTCCCAAAAATCAAATCTTTCTCTCACTAAGAAATCCCAAAATATTTCTCTCTCTTCCCCCTCCGTTTTGTTTATTTCTTTTTGAAAATATGAGACATGGCTCTGAGATTCTGAAATCCACTAGAATGCGATCTGCATATCAGCGACTTTTCTTTTCTTTTCCCGGGTCCCCACTCGCGGAGCGATATCTCGCAGGGATTGAAGAGATTTTGGTCAATCTTTGGGATTTGTGAGTGTCTCTCACAGTAACTGGTCGGGTTGTGGCAAAAAGATGGTGGGAAGAGTTGACGGCAGGTCAACGGAGAAACGGCGCCGTCGCTCCCCAGTCTAAAACCATTTAATACGGCAACGTTTCAGCTTCACCGTTTCATTTCTTGTCAGGGGTAAATTTGAGTTTAATTGGAACAGAGCTTGAGTGGTAAGGCTGAGAGCATGCTGCAATTAAATTTTAAAATTCAAATTCTCTCTGTAAAAATACAGTAATTTATTTTTAATTTAACAAAAAGAATTAGGCAAATTTGTATTTTAAAAGTTACACGAACTTTATCCTCAATAAAAATAAATAAATTATACAAATATTCATAAACTTTATTGAAATTATAAAATTTTATATGTTTTATAGGAATTTTTTTAGATGTAGAGTGAAAAGTTGTGTGCTTTAAACAAAAATTTCAAAAAATTAATTTATTTTCATTTTTAGATAAAGTTATGAATGCATTCATATAGTTATAAAAATTACAGAAATGATTTCATAAAAAAATTATAGAAATGATATAATTTATTCATAGAATAAATATGCATTTTAAAATTTTTAAATATAAAAAATCATAAAAATTTAAAAAGAGAACAATTCATGTCAAAGTATACTTTTAATCCTATAGCTTTATATAAGATTTTAATTTGATCTTCTAATTTTATAAAATATTTTTTTAATTCGTTAACCTTAATATTATTAATTTTAAATAATTATTTTTTGTGTCAATCATTATTATTTTAAAAAAAATTAAATGTAGTATACCAACATTTAATAATATTTTATTAATATTTAAAAGTTTAATGTGAAAATTTATTAAATTAAAACTAATAGTGTGAAGGTTAAAGAATTAAAAAGAAAGTTTATAAAATTAAGTGATTAAAATAAAATATTATATAAAATTAAAAAATTAAATATGTATTTTAATTTATAAAAAGAAAAAGAAAAGGAAAGAAAGTGCACCCGCTTCCTCTGTAGACGCTAGGGGGAAAAATCAAAGAGTGGTAATAAAGAGGGAGAAATAATGTGTCGAGTGAGTGTCGTTTTGTGGGGCTTTATTTGCAATAAACACTTGTTTGGCCAAAAAATAAATAAATAAATAAATTGTAATAAAGACTTTTGGGGGGGACAGAGTATCTATGCTAATCTCGTTGGAAGCGATATCATACACGTGCTGTCTCGTGTGCTCTGCGTTTTGCGATTTCCCTCTATTTTTTTTCACTTGTTTTTTTTTTTAATTAAACGCCTATATTTGGTAAATACTCCTACTATTCTTTGACGTTCTTATTATGGGAATGAAATTAGGTGAAATCTCTTAAGACTTTCTGGGAATTCGTACTGCAATTTTTTACCAGCCTATAATTTGAATTTAAAAAAAACGAAAAAACTCAAGCTCATGTGTCATGATTCATGAAGTTGTTTACAAACGCTTTTGTGTTATCAGAACGGAAATAGGGATTGGTCAAAACAACGCCAGCTCAACTTTGGGTTTTTTTTCCCCTATACTTTTTGGTTGATACTAATTATATTTTATTACAGATAATACTAATATCGCAGTATCACTAATTCAAAATCATTCCCTGATTAGTGAATTGTACGGCGGGAGGACAGAATGATTTTCATGCACATTTTGCACAATAAGGAATGAATATCTATAATTAAATATTCTAACCTTCATAATCTTAATCAAGAAAATGAGCATCACGCATATAAATATTAAGCATGTGCATTATATTTATACCCGTAGAAATTTTTCTGAATCGTATCCTCAGCAGTTTATGCTGAATTCATTTACATTTTAAAAAATAAAAAATTACTTTTTTACCTGAAAGAATTATCTATGGTTTATGTCGGTGTGTTTTGAGAAATAATAATGCAAGCAGCCTTTTATTTACTGTATTATTCAAATCTTACGAATTGAAACAAATTTGAATGTAGCTTTTGCTTAATTGTTGGGTAAACATAAATTTTTGCTTTTAAAGTATTTTTTTGATCAGCATACAATACTTTAAAATATTTGTTAGAATATTTTTGACTTTAAAGTAATTAAATTAGAGCATCCTTTATCCTATCATTATATTCCCAAAAACGTTTATCAGAAAAGCTGACTTGGACTAAATTCTAACTTAGCATAAAAGTAAAACAATCAAAATGTAAAGAGGGATATAAGTGAATCATAAGAGTCATCATTTAAGATATTTGTAAATGGTGCGTTGATTCTTATATTTGTGAGTTTTTTTAGCCAAAAAGTGATGCCAAGATAAATGTGTAATTAATTTGTTATGCTAAAATGAAGACTTTAATTTTTATTTTATTACTCTAATCCATGTCATTGGTATGATCATTTTCAACAACCAAATAACCCCTAAACGAATTAAGATATCTCGCATCTCTTTGGATTTGTCCTTCACTCCATGTCTTCAGCTACTTGCCATTCCAAGCTCTCCCTTTGCATTCAACTGCTTCTCAATCTCTCTTTGGTTTGAAATTAAGCTTTGCCAATGCTTATGGTTAGATTTTTTATATTAAGCATATTTAATTATAATATACTTTATCAAAATAGCTCAAATCATTTAATTAGATACTTTTTAAACTTTTATGTTTATAATTTATTTTTTAATTTTTAAATACGAAACTTCTTTTATGTTCTTATATTCCTTCCATTACTTTTTGTTCTCTTTTTTTTCATCATTTTCTTTTTCTTGTCTAAACTTATACTTTTTTTAAAGTCTCATAACTCCCAAGTTTATTCAATTTCTTCTTCTTTTTTTTTTAAATTTCTTATTTTTTTATATTGTCTTAAAAACCTCAAGTCTATTCAATTTTTTTCCTTTCTTTCTTTTTAAATTTTTTTTTTTTTTTCCATCTTTCACTTACACTAAAACCCTTACCATCAAAAGATGGTAAATATCGCCTTTTTAGGGAGGAAAGCTCTTAATATGCATAAGAGCTTTCCGCACCCCTCCCCTCTCGAGGGCCAAGCTCTGCCTTGGTCCACCACCGGAAAGGGCAATAATTTTGTATTTTTATTTTAAGAGTTAATAGCTTTTCTCAATAACTGCCAGTTAAGTTTTGCTATATAATCTCCTCTGGATTTTGTCCTTTGGCTTCAGACCTCCTCTTAGTGTCTGGCCTCAGTTGTTACGTCCTTGTACTTTCTTTCTATACATATCCTTTTTCTCTTATTTGTGATTCTTGGTTCGTTATTCTATGTTTGCCATTTTTTGAATTTGAATGGCAATAGAAATTGGTAGGAGCTTACTTTTGGATTGAATATGTTTTGATCAACAACGAGTGAAACATACAGTATTTTGTCAAATTAATATTTTGTAATCAAGCTAATTTCATGAGATGCAACAAAAACCTTGCCCTGCCACGTGTACAATAATTCCATTTGGATGGCAAGAAAAGTAGGAAAGAAGGAAAATTAGGGGCAAAACTTATAAAAATAGAGTTAAAATTAGTATTTTTGAAAAATTATGTTTTCTCACCCCCTCATTTTCTTTTCACTTTTTTTCTTTATCCAAATCAAGCCTTGGAATTATATGGTTGCTGCATCAGATTATAGGCTGATGTTTCACTCGATCCATATGCAACCCCAACTAAATTTTACTCATTTCATTTAAAAATATAAGATATTTTTAATCGAATCTCACCTTTAATAAAATAGTTATCTACTTTCAAACTAACCCCATCTTTTCATATTTATCCATATTTAACACGCTACAATAAATATAAAGTCAATCATTAATAGGGGCACTTTTAAAAAAAAGGCAACAGTTACACATCAACAAACTATAAATGCCTTACATTTTTAAACATTTAACTTTTTAAAAAATACTTTATATTTTCGAATGGAGGAAGTAGTTGTTACAGGGTTATCCTTTTGCGGAAGCCATATTATTTGTTGTTTATGCATGCAATACATGTGGTTTGAAGAAGTTTATGATAACCAGGACTTATATAATTAACTTTATATATTTGATATAATTATATCCAATCAAATCAAGACATGTAGATTTTGATGTGTTCATAATATTACTAACAAGAATTTGTTATATAATAATTCATTTCTAAAAGATACGCATGTTTTGATTTAATTGAAAACAAGCATATTAAGTATATAAAATTAAGTTTATACTGCTTCTAATTTTATTTATAAATTACTTCCAGCATGTTTTATCAAAATAAAAAAAATTTAGACCTTATTAATTCTGTCTTAAAATTTAATAAGTTTACACTTCCAATAAAGATAAAAAAATTAATAAAAAAAGATAGATAAAGATGAATATAAAAAATAATAAAGTGTCTTATAAATAAGATCAAAATTAATCTTCTATCTATACTCTATATAAATAAAATTAGAGGAGTAAATTATTTTTTTCAAGGCTTATACTCCATCCGTATTAAATTTAGGATTATTCAGAAACTCTGGTCTTGCCATAAAACCCTACCAACTTTTTCCAGCGCATTAAATTTTTCTCAAAAATACTTCTATTTAATGCCCTATTTAAATTATTATAGTTATGATTAGTACTCCAAATAAATGGCAGGGGTATTCCTGGAGAGATAAAAAAAATAACAAATGAATAATTTCATTTATTTTATTAATCTATGAGAATTAGGTAAAAGACTTGTATATTTATAGCTCTTTTATTAAAAAAAATCAACTTTTTTCGTTGGTATGATATTATTACAAAGTAAAGCAACACGGACATAAAAACCTCTCCATTCTTTATTATTATTTTCTCTTAATTTTCCTAATTATAATCAT